AGTGCCAGGAATGTCTTTCTTGTTTATTCTGGACCCTATTCGGAAATTGGCATCTTTTGAAATTTGTGTGAAATTGGCAAAATTGCTAAATTCTGACCACTGTACTGGATAGTTGCATTTCATAAATGGGTGGTTTCTTGCACCCATTCGATAGAAAAAATGGAGTTCTAGCGAAATATTCATGTTTTTTGTCGACTAGTACAGCGAAATTGGCCGAAAATGGGGCTCAAAGTGGGCAAAATTGCCGATGCGTAAACATCGCCGAGACCGCTAACTTTGCGAGAGCATAATTTCGTAAGTTTTCTATCAAATTTCAAACTTTTGGTGTCTTTATGATCGGGAAAAGATTCTCTATCTTTGCATAAGAGAAAATAATTTTTTTTTTTTTTAAATTTGGCCGACCCTGAGAACGAGTTTCGGAGAGGGCCTGTCGACCCTCAAAGGGTTAAAGTGCGGGCATTGTACAGTCAACCCTCGACTAACAGCGGCATTAAGTAATGGCAATTTCGTCTAACAGCGCTTTTTGCCATAGAAAAAATGCCTTAACCAACGGCAAAAAACTTAACCAACGACGTTTGTCCACCACTCTAAGAGTCAGTGTGCCAATGTTTATAAGCTGTTGTGGTCAGTTTCCACGTGTGCCTCCCATATATTTTGGATTATTCCACTATTTCTAGTCCTTTTTTTTTTTTTTCAACAAGTCGGCCGTCTCCCACCGAGGCAGGGTGACCCAAAAAAGAAAGAAAATCCCCAAAAAGAAAATACTTTCACCATCATTCAACACTTTCACCACACTCACACATTATCACTGTTTTTGCAGAGGTGCTCAGAATACAACAGTTTAGAAGCATATACATATAAAGATACACAACATATCCCTCCAAACTGCCAATACCCCAAACCCCTCCTTTAAAGTGCAGGCATTGTACTTCCCATTTCCAGGACTCAAGTCCGACTATATGATAATAACCGGTTTCCCTGAATCCCTTCACTAAATATTACCCTGCTCACACTCCAACAGCTCATCAGGTCCCAACTACCATTTGTCTTCATTCACTCCTATCTAACACACTCAAGCACGCTTGCTGGAAGTCCAAGCCCCTCGCCCACAAAACCTCCTTTACCCCCTCTCTCCAACCCTTTTGAGGACGACCCCTACCCTGCCTTCCTTTCCCTATAGATTTATATGCTTTCCATGTCATTCTATTTTGATCCATTCTCTCTAAATGACCAAACCACCTCAACAACCCCTCTTCAGCCCTCTGACTAATACTTTTATTAACTCCACACCTTCTCCTAACTTCATTGCTCTGAATTTTCTGCATAATATTTACACCACACATTGCCCTTAGACAGGACATCTCCACTGCCTCTAATCGTATCCTCGCTCCTGCATTTATCACCCAAGCTTCACACCCATATAAGAGTGTTGGCACCACTATACTTTCATACATTCCCTTCTTTGCCTCCATAGATAATGGTCTCTGTCTCCACATATACCTCAACGCACCACTCACCTTTTTTCCTTCATCAATTCTATGATTAACCTCATCTTTCATAAATCCATCCGCTGACACGTCAACTCCCAAATATCTGAAAACATTCACTTCTTCCATATTCCTCCTCTCCAATTTGATATCCAATTTTTCTTTATCTAAATCATTTGATACCCTCATCACCTTACTCTTTTCTATGTTCACTTTCAACTTTCTTCCTTTACACACTCTCCCAAACTCATCCACTAACCTTTGCAATTTTTCTTTAGAATCTCCCATAAGCACAGTATCATCAGCAAAAAGTAACTGTGTCAATTCCCATTTTGTATTTGATTCCCCATAATTTAATTCCACCCCTCTCCCGAGCACCTTAGCATTTACTTCTTTTACAACCCCATCTATAAATATATTAAACAACCATGGTGACATTACACATCCCTGTCTAAGACCTACTTTTACCAGGAAGTAGTCTCCCTCTCTTCTACAGCATTTAGTAACTTACCACCTATTCCATATACTTGCAACATCTGCCACATTGCTCCCCTATCCACTCTATCATATGCCTTTTCTAAATCTATAAATGCAATAAAAACTTCCCTACCTTTATCTAAATACTGTTCACATATATGCTTCAATGTAAACACCTGATCTACATATCCACTACCCACTCTAAAACCTCCTTGCTCATCTGCAATCCTATATTCTGTCTTACCTCTAATTCTTTCAATAATAACCCTACCGTACACTTTTCCTGGTACACTCAGTAAACTAATTCCTCTATAATTTTGACAATCTCTTTTGTCCCCCTTCCCTTTATATAAAGGGACTAACCATGCTCTCTGCCAGTCCCGAGGAACCTTCCCCTCTTTCATACATTTATTAAACAAAAGTACCAACCACTTATTCCCCTATAATTTTTACAATCTCTTTTGTCCCCCTTCCCTTTATGTAAAGGAACTATATATGCTCTCTTCCAATCCCTAGGTACCTTCCCCTCTTTCGTACATTTACTAAACAAAAATACCATCACTCCAACACTATATATCCCCCTGCTTTTAACATTTCTGTCGTGATCATGTCAGTTCCAGCTGCTTTACCCCGTTTCGTTCTACGTAATGCCTCACGCACCTCCCCCACACCCACATCCTGCTCTTCTTTACTCCTAAAAGATGTTATACCTCCCTGACCAGTGCATGAAATTACCGCCTCCCTTTCTTCATCGACATTTAAAAGTTCCTCAAAATATTCCCACCATCTACCCAATACCTCCATCTCCCCATCTACTCTGTTTTTAAGTGACAAATCCATTCGTTTCTTAGGCTTTCTTAACTTGCTTATCTCACTCTAAAATTTTTTCTTATTTTCATCAAAATTTCTTGACAGTGCCTCTCCCACTCTTTCATCTGCTCTCCTTTTGCAATCTCTTACCACTCTCTTCACCTTTCTTTTACTCTCCATATACTCTGCTCTTCTTACAACACATCTGGTTTGTAAAATCTTCTCATAAGCTACCTTTTTCTCTTTTATCACACCCTTTACCTCATCATTCCACCAATCATGCCTCTTTCCTCCTGCACCCACCCTCCTATAGCCACAAACTTCTGCCCCACATTCTAATACTGCATTTTTAAAGCTATTTCATCCCTCTTCAACCCCCCATTCTCCTCATGCTTGCATTAGTCCACCTTTCTGCCAATAGTTTCTTATATCTCACCCAAACTTCCTCCTCCCTAGTTCATACACCTTCACCTCTCTCTTTCTTGCTGTTGCTATTTTCCTTTTGTCCCTCCTACCTCTTACTCCAACTGTAGCTACAACTAAATAATGATCCAATATATCAGTTGCCCCTCTATAAACATATACATCCTGAAGCCTACTCATCAATCTTTTATGCACCAATACATAATGTAACAAACTACATGTACTTTCATTATGTGCTATATCATACCTTGTATACTTATTAATCCTCTTTTTCATAAACTATGTATTACTTAATACAACCCTTTTTCTACACAAAGCTCAATTAAAGGTTCCCCATTTTCATTTACTCCTGGTACCTCAGATTTACCTACTACTCCCTCCACAACATTTTTACCCACTTTAGCATTGAGATCCCCAATCACAAGTACTCTCTCACTAGGTAGAAAACTCCCCATGCACTCACTCAACATTTCCCAAAATATCTTTCTCTCTCCTCTACACTTCTCTCTTCTCCAGGTGCATAAACACTTACTATAACCCACTTTTCACATCCAACCCTTATTTTACACCACATAATCCTTGCATTTATACATTTATACTCCCTCTTTTCCTGCCATAACTTATCCTTCAACATCCAAATGTAGATCTACTTTCACATGCGTAACGCTCCAAACGTAGATCTACATTTCATTTTACATGCTTTCATCCTTGGCATGACAGGCCTGAGATGCCTAGACATGAGAGAATGGGTCTGTGCACTAAGTGTGTGCAGTATTACAAAATTTGGAGACACTGGGAAAAATGCACTCTTCATTTTAAACAAAATAAAAAAAAAATTTCCCCAAAAAATATTCAGAGCACTACACAAGTGAACATAGATCTACGTTTGGACAGTTCAAGGGTTACAGCCCGGACATCCAGCTTCTTCTCATTCATAACATCCACAATCATCCCTAAATCCCTTCACTAAATGTTACCCTACTCACACTCCAACAGCTCGTCAGGTCCCAAAAACCATTCGTCTCCATTCACTTCTATCTATCCTATAATGGCTGCTGAAGAGTAGGGAACATAAATTTTTATTATAGCAGAAAAGTAAATAAGGGACTTCTTACACATTATTAAAAATCACAAAAATGTTAAGTAGACAATAAAGGTGAAAATAAAGAGAGTCATATACATGTATTACTCCCACCATTGTAATACTATTTAACCTATCACCTGAATTGCAAATCTTCACAAAACTCAAAGTTTATTCCATATAAACGACTGCAGGCTAATACCAACCCTGACAATAATGACATAATATGTGAGAAAATAATATATAAGTGGTACAGTAAATATACCTTTACATAATGCAGTAAAACATAATGAATCCACATACATTACAATTAATTTTGTACAGTTCGTGTCCAAGAATTAACAATAATGATGTTAGAAAAATACTAAAATAATGAATATCTACTAATCTGTTTAATTATCAATAAAAAAAGCATTTAATACTGTTGCTCAAAACAATTTTCTTCTTAAACTAGAGTGCAATGGAGTCAAGAGAACATATATTTTACTGTAATAAATCTTACCTCAATACAAGGTCAGATACCTAATAAAAAACCTGACTGTGATATATGAAGGTAGTCAAAAAGATAAGACTAGTTATAGATACTTAGAAGTCAGACAGCTAATTGTTTACACTACAGTAATCAGTTTCAATGAGATAAGAAAACATACAATATGTGTCTATTGGAATACATCTTTTAAAAGATGGAAATCAATGCTGAAAAGAATTAGTGTACAAATAACCTTTCCAAATAAGTCTTCATTCATGATCTTAAGGCATGGGTCTTGATCTGGAGGTAGTGGAATGCAAAATGTGGCATCTTTCTCCAAAACGCCACAAGAAAGTGGCTCAGTCTCCAGCAACCAGCTACGTCCAAATGTGTCAATAGACTCAATCAAGCCAGAGTTTCTGTCTACTAGGTCGTCTTCAGTATTGTGGTTACAGTTACCTAGGAAAGTATTAAGGTCATAAATAAGGGTGTTTAGCTCCAGTTTGATATTATATATGGATTATTGCATCCTGTAGCAATATCATTTATGAAGTATTTCATCCCAGGAATGCAGTTATTGTACATCAATATCATGTGCTTCATACTGACATTCAATGCATAAACATTCAGTATTTCATTCACCCTTAGCCATAACTTCAAATTATTCTGTAGTATCTCTAAATCTGCCCCTATTGTAAATACCACCTTCAAACATTCTGAGATATTCATACCATCTTGATACTTTTTTTTTACCTTTCACAAGTTTTACAATATCATATCGTCTCCAGTTTTAATCCCCTCTATCCTCACTGCAAAACCCCCTTGAAAAATGCTTACTGCCTTCATCCACTAATTCCATGCTCACTTCTGGCTCTTCCCTTTTCCTAACACTCATGAGTCCTTATGCTCCTTAAATGAAATCCCTGTCTCTATTTTGCTACATTTAACAACATCTTACAATTTTCTCTCCAGGTAATATGTTTACCTACTTATGCATCATCTCACCACTTTCATATAACTGATAGGTTATCTGCATCTTAAATTTCTTAATCTTATTTATCTCTCCAAAACCATTTCTTATTCTCATTTTGTTATTCTTTTCTCATCTCTGCAGACTATTGTGTAAGCTATTCTCTCAAAACATATACATATATGGTATGACTAGGCACAGATTCATGTAATGTTTTTTAATAAATTTTTAAAATAAAAGCTAACTATTCGAAAAACTTAAGAGTCTGCAAGAACTCTATTTTGAATGTCTTCCTTTAATAAGTTAGTATCTAACAGGACTGTATAAGCCAGTTCATGTTTCTTAACAATCATGACGAGATATTGTTTAAAACAGATTAGCTTCAAATTCTTACACTACTATAATCACTATGTTTAAAACTGTACATGATAATTTGACAATGTTGAGAATCACTAGAAGTTAACCAAGTGTGAGAGTCCCTTTATACAGTATTATCTGAAAATTGGAATTTTCTATACTACCAACAAGCAGATAGGTAAGACACATGTGCAACAGTTGAGAATCTCTTGTTACCAAAACAGTTTGCCTGCTCAACAGGCTTCTTCAGTTAAAATACAGAGGTGACTTACATACTGGGGAAAACAGAAGTAATGAAGAGGTAGATATGAGATGATCAGTCCCTCATCCTAAAATAAGAAGGAAGTTCAAGGTGGTCTGTCCCTCAGACTTGAAAAAGAAGTAAGTTCGAGGTGATCAGTCCCTCAGCCTTGATAATGTTCAGCTCTGTACTTTCTTTTTCAAGGTTGAGGGACTGATCACCTCTCATCTACCTCTCCACTACTTCTGTTGTCTCCAGTATTTAAGTCGCCTTTATATTTTATCTGAAGGAACTTGCTGAGGAAGCAAAATATTTCAGCAATAAAAGATACCCAACTGTACACAAATATTAAGAGATATCTGAAGGCAATGGAATATTTTGTGAACATCCACATAAATAATTAATAAGAAAATGGATAAGTTATTTACAAAGCTTCTTATACAAAAAGAAACCCCAGATCATTTTAGCCTAATGCTAAGGTTTAAAAGGGAAACTATTATGACAAATGAAATAACATACAGTACAGTACTTCAAAAGATCTTAAGAAAATGGCAATCAAAATAACAGTTTGAATGCATCACTCAGACTTACCACACAGTCCTTCTGTTTTGTTGAAGTAAAGATTGGAAGGTAAACGGATGGAGAAGCCAAAGTTTTCAAGGAAGAAAGTCACTTCTAAATGAATCTCGGGAATGGCTACCATAATCTGATAAAAAAAAAAAGTGATATACTATATAGCCAGTCAGACCTCCATATTTGCAGGTCACATTGCTGGTCTCCTGCAAAGTCAAAATCCTGAGTACGTACTATTAAATTCTATCCATGTAAACATGTTTGTTTCAGACTGAGGCATATCTTATGTTTTAGAGGTTACTTTAAATACTGTTATAACTTCATTAATATTAACATTCATAAGAGAATATCCAAAAAGACAAAAGATGTGGGCAGGGAAAATCTAAGGAGCACATTTTGAGTGAAATTCTTTGGTTGGGTTTTAATTTAGGGGTAGAAGGCCAAACTCAAAACAAAATAGGCCACTGCTTAAAACAGCAACTAATCAAAATTATTGACAGGAGTCCCTTCTGTAAAAATGTTGGATAATTGAATTGATAATGTGAAGATCTAGCTGTACTATACAAATAACATTCATGGCAAAAGTGTTGGACCAGATAAAATAAAATATTTTATGAATACCAAGCAACTGCTTTTCAGATGTCGTCATTACCATATAACCTTTCCAAGGAATGCAATGTCTCACATAAGAAAGGAATTATACAGACCACAAACTATTGACCCTACAGGTGAGATGTGAGTACATTACCCATACTCCACCAACATTTAAGAATTCTAACTGGAACCTTTATTGAGTCCTAGAGGTGTCATAGTCACTGCTCATATCCCAGGTCACAAAAAGCACATAGAGAGATAGGGAAACAACCAATCTTAGATGAAGTCAGATGTATTCTGAAGACTAGAGTATCTGACAATGTACTGTGAAAGACAAGACAAACACTTATAGTTCAACTCAACAAGATAGATCATACAAATATTTTAAATCAGCTACTGATACTTATGTGTCTACATATATATATGTACAAGTTGCAAAATGGTACTGACTACAGTCATTGGTGACTGCCATTTTATATTCAATAATTTTTTGTTTTCATACTACCCATAGATTTTTTGTTGCTGTACATTATTTTCAGTGTTTTATTCCAAGATTCTTTTTTTCCTGCAAACTATGCCATGCTATTTTTCATAAAAGTATGGTGGGCCTCTTGTCCACATTTCCCTTCTTCCCTAAACAATAATTACCCAAAGAGTGCAGCCATCATGAGACAATGATTCACTGAGCTACAACATCCCTACACAACTTTCAAAACACACATACTGTACCTCCCATCTCCAAAACTGAAGACTAGTTAATCAATTTCCTGAATCCCTTTATAGATACTATTTTTTTTTTTTGCAATAAGTTGGCCATCTCCCACCTAGGCGGGGTGACCCAAAAAGAAAGAAAATCCCCAAAATGAAAATACTTTCATCATCATTCAACACTTTCACCTCACTCATACATAATCACTGTTAACCCTTTCAGGGTCCGTCCCGTAGATCTACGGCTTCACGTTGAGTGTCCAAAACGTAGATCTACACCAAAATTCTAGCGCCGTCAAATTTAGCGCAAAAATGCTCATAGGCCTACATGTGAGAGAACGGGTCTGCGTGGTGGGTGTGCACCATAAACAAAAAATCTAGGCGCCCCGCATAGCATTGTAGGAACGCCAGCTCAGTTACCCTTGTTCACCATGCCTCGTCGCAAGTCAGCTCTCACTCCCCGGAAAATTGGGACTCTCCTCTTCCTATCTGATAGTTCTGACAATGATGGAAGTGGAAATGAAGACGAATTCTACGGCTTTGATCAGTTAGTGACCGAAAAGAATGACCAGGATATCGATAATAGTGCAGAAAATCCTGACGATCCTCAACCTTCTACCTCTGGTGTGGGCACTCGTGACTCACAGTCGGTTGTTCCTCAATGCAAGAGAAAACTAATATTTTCGCGTGGCCAGGCCTTTGACTTCAGTAATGATGATGATAGTGACGTGGATTGTGATTTTATTGCGCTGACGATCATTCGAGTAGTGATAGTGAGGAATCATATTCACCAGTGAAGCGTCAGTATGTTCGCCGCCGCATGCACTCGGGTAGTGTACCCTATGCTGTGCCCAGGGGACGGAGTACATCCCGGAGTACATCCCGTGGCCCTACACCAGTTTTAGGTAGTGATAGTGAGGATGATGTGGCTACACTTGGCATGGATAGACCACAGGCATCAGTGGATGGTGTTAGTGGTGATGGTAGTGGCACCGCATGCGTGACTCACCAGCCCACGCTGGACCCACGCTGCTGACTCGTCCAGTTCAAGGACAAAGCGGAGCGTCAGCCACCAGCCCACCACAACCACAAACCACCCGCACAACCAGCCTATATGTCCAGTATCCACCAGCAAACCGTATGTGGATTGGCAGCAAAATCCCAATTTTGTTCCCAAGCGCTCACCACTTTGATGACTCTCAAAGTGGAATTCTATCTACTTGTCCCTTGGAACTGGAATTCTTTGAATTAGTCTTTGACCAGCCATTGATGGAAACTATTGTCAGGGAAAGTAATAAGCATTTTTGAGTACACCATGGCAATAAGATCTTATCACCACAGTCAAGACTACACAGGTGGAAAGAGACGACTGTTGCAGAAATGTATTTGCTTTTTGCAACAATAATGCTTATGCCTCATGTGTATAAGCATAATATAAAAGCATACTGGTCCACAGATCAGCTAATTTCTACCCCGGTCTTCAGTGAAATCATCCCAGTGAACAGGTTTATCTTACTCTTATGTATTTTGCACTTCTCTGACAAAACCAGGCCTGACAGAAGTGACAGGTTATACAAGATTAGAAATGTTTTCATGTATCTCAAACAAAAGTTCAGCATATACTTTTATCCATTCAAGAATCTTGTAATTGACGAGTCTTTGATTTTGTTCAAAGGTAGACTGTCATTCAAGCAGTACATACCGAGCAAGAGGAAACGCTTTGGTATAAAACTGTTTGTACTCTGTGACTGTGACAGTGCCTGGTGTTGGATATTGTTGTATACACGGGTAGTAAAACATTGAAAGATACCAAGATGTTATTGGGTATCTCAGGTGACATAGTGAGAAACATGATGGCACCTTATCCTGGTAAGGGGCATACATTATATACCGATAACTGGTACACAAGCCCATTACTCAGTGATTTCATGCGAGTGAACAAGACATGTGTGTGGCACAGTGCGTTCTAATCGTAAACATATGCCCAGGCTCAACGCAGGTGCTTGTGGTGATGAC